GTTTATCCTGCCTCTTATTGCAGGAAATTAGGCAATGACATGTCTTTAAAATAATTCAAAATGCTAAGTTTTAGTCAATGATGAAATCAAAAGTTTAGGTTAAAATGTAGGGCCCAACTCCAGAATCATATAAAACTGCCTTGTGATTGCAACATACCTCCCAACATTTTAAATAGACAAAGAGGGTACTTTAAATTTAGGGGTGTAGACAGTGGTGGGGCTATTTTAGATGACTTACCAATATGCCACTATAATGTAATTAGAACAAGAGCAATGTATGACAGATTTGTTATACACATTTATTGACATTTATAGGCTCTTTATTGTGAGTAGTATTGCTATGGAGCTCTGTTAAACACAAGGAGCTTATAGAAAAGAGGGAGATTAGGATAGAAAAGAGGGACAGGGGAATTTAAGGACAAAATAGAAGAGGACAAAATAGATTGGGAAAATAAGTGCCCTAAATAGGGACACTTGGAATGGCTATTCACTAAAGCAGGAATTGTGGAAATTGACAAAAGATATGTGAATGTTAAAAAATAAATTGCTGAGTTAGAAAAATAAACTGAATTGAAGGATCTTTCTCAAAAAGGCAATTTTGACCTAACATTTGCAGTCTCCGTCTCAGCTCTCCGCAGTCCATTATCTATTGGTCCATTATTTTTTCTTGCATAAGAAAATCTTTTGTTTTTACTTAACTCTCCCCACACTATCAGTGTTTGCTTGAAAACATGCCAGCTGGAACTTAAAAGCAGTAAATTACAGCATTCTCCAGTGTCTCAAAACAGAGTATAGATAGACCAACATATCTGATTAAAAGTGCAATTTCAAATGTTAGGAGCTTTCATTCATTAATATGAATAGACTTTGAGGCCGCACATTTGCTAGACAAAAATGGATGAATTTCGAGAAAAATATTACTTTGTACAAAATTGGTACTCTGCACTGCATGATAAAGACAAAATTGATTTGAACAAAAGAAGCCAAAGATGTCACTTTAGCCCCTTTCAGTGCATTCTGAAAGCACTGTTCATTTTGAGTTTCTATAACTAACCTGTAGTTGCATGAAGAGAATGCAGTTTCCTAAACCACCATTTAAAAAAATAAATAAAAAGGCCAATTAATACTAGAGAGTGATTATGGTCCCTAACAGTCTAGGGACGCTGACCTCAGGTTCTGTCACATCACCTTTGAGTAGTTTGACTAGGACTTAGAGACTCCAGGCACTTATAGACTATACCCTTGCTTCTTGTAATTCAAATACACAATTTATACTTACAGTGGTGGTTGTGGTAACATCATATTGTTATCATGCTACACATTGTCAGGAAATTGAGTGAATGATGGACAATATTAAACAGAAGGCAAGATAATGAGACAGAAGATCACCTTCGAGAATGTTATTGACTCTTTAAACAATAGCTTGGGCATCATAATAACTTAATCGAAATGAGGAAGGACCAGGGACCTGGGCCTTCCTTATCATTACTGGTTAAACCATTCATGAACAGTTTAACCCTAAAGTTTGCTTTCCAGTGCTTTCATTGTTATCTTTGTACCTCTTTTTTTTTTTTTTTAAATAAACAGGGAGCGCTAAGCTAATCAGACCTCTTGCCCAGTGGCAGTCCGTGCTGCGTAAAGCTGATTTTCTGAAACTGGATGTAGATAGGAACATTGATCGACTGTGCTGGAGAGCAAACTTTGTGGTTTAATCCCTACTGGCAAGGAAGTAGCACACTAGCAAGGTAATCTCCTGGTGACACTCCGAAGACAGGTGGAAGACCTGGAGAATCAAGGGTCACCATAACATCTGTGTCTGTGGCCTACCAGAGCCTGAGACCTTGCCATTACCTTCTGCATTGGAGACCTTATTTAAGCAAATACTAGGTCCGTATGCCCCACCTACCATCCCATTCGTTAGGGCGCACAGGAACCATGGCCAATACGACAAGATGGGAGACAGTGCAACCTCATCTGTTGCCTCCATGCCTTTAGCCTCAAGGAACAGATTATAGCTGCTGCACAAGACTCGCCTGCTATCCACTTTTAGAATCCCGGGATCATGCTTTATCAGGACCTCTCTTCTTTGACCCTCAATGCTAGATGGCTCATAAGACCAATTAAGACCACCCCATACCAGTGAGGTTTCCCTTTTAGCCTTCAGGCACACCAAGGAAGCACGTCGTATTCAGTTTGGCTACCAGACAATGTCCGTCAATTTCTGTAAGCTCTGTGGCTTCCAGCTCAACGGGTACGCAACTGACTCCTAGATGACCCTGCTACCAATAGGAGGGATGTTGCTCTGGTCAGAAGCAGCCCTAGTCGGGAGACGGATAGATCACCTTGGCGGCAAAGATGGGGAGCTTCAGAGGGCTCAGAGGCATGATAATGTCCTGGCGGGAAAGCTGGTAGACGCCTGGAGGGGTAGCGTCACCACCTTCCACTTAGCTCCACAAGCAGGTACTCTGGGTTTGTACGGTGTGCGGTAACGGCGACTCCTAGATTAAAGTTCTCTACCTTTTCTCATTTCTTTATAAGTCACCCTGTTTGTACAATGTGAGAGGTCGCTGATAGACTTATATGCAGGCGCATAAAGGTTTATTGCATCTGGAACACGCTCCTTAGCTGTAATTGAATCCCTTACCTTCCATACCTTCCTCTCATGATTGCACTCATTGCAACCCCCTAACATGGGACAGAGGCTTTGAGAGGGGAGCAGGATCTATTACACACAACTGATGGGAACAGTGGGATGCACATAAAGACTCAATGGGTCGGAAAGGGGATGATTGCATAAATGGGGATTTAAGGAGACTTCTCAAATGTTTAATTATGGAGTAAGATGATCACTTCAATATGTACATTGCTGATTTGATGGCTCAGGCTGGAGTCCAATGGAGTGTAACCCTTTGACATGTGGATCTGTCCGCTTTCTTGAGTGCCAGGTGTAAATGGGGTTTCGGAGAGGAAAGGGAGCATGCAGGAGTTATTTATTCATATTTTTCTGTTTGTTTGATTTAGTATAACTGTTAGCACCCTGTGTGCGGTTTCTTGCTTCCCACTCCTTTCTGGGCAGACCCCAATGCCAGCCACCATGGACTTAATAAGCATCTCCATAGTACAATGTATCTACATCCAGTGACTACCACGGCCTGACCACTGCCCCATTATACTGGGCTGTATAACCCACCCTACCACCCCCATTTTTTTCTCTTATTTGCTTTTTATACCACTTAACAGATAGGCCACAAGTTACTGAGAGATGCACCAGCACCATACAACTGACACTGTGTTCTGTTACAATACTGATGCTCATGTTGGCAGTCCCCCTAACCCTCTTCCTTCAGATGGAGACGACCATCCGAGGCCACACATGGATCAGTGGGTGATGTTCAGTGGGTGCTTCCCTCTCCTAAATGGCATTCCTGTTTTATGCTTGTTCCAGAGAAAATGTGTAGTTGACTTGGTACTTCTTAAGGCATATAGGTGGTACACCAGTGACTCTGTGCCCACGCCCCCTGCCTTTCATCCTAACCAGTTACATGTTAAGTGACTGCCTGCTCACGGAGCATATAGCCCTACAAAACATCACTCAAACTGACACACTTATCAAACTCCAATACTGCACTACTCCATTAGGCCGGGAAGGAGTGGATAGAATCAGTGGTAGACTTAACGTCCACCATATTATTCTCCTATTGACATAGCGGTTCAGACTATACCGCATTGACAGATACTCAGATATTTAAGCAACACTGATATGGGCCGCTTGAAAGCCAGGCTTCCCACACGTCCAACCTTGTCTAGGGCTGTTAGTTCGTGTCGATCTAAAAAGTGCTGCCAAAAATGACTGTGTAAGACTTACTCCCCCCCCCCCCTTCCATTTATCCCATTACCCTTTTCGAGACTTTTTTCTTCCTCTTTTCTCCCTCTTCTGCCTACTCCTCAGACCACTTTCCCAGCTCTCCCTACTCACGACCTGACTTTCTTAAAGCAATGGCAACAACACCTGAGGACTCAATGCTCCAGCAAGAAGCTCCCATTTGCTGCGTACCCTCTGGGGCCACAGAAACTCTGAACACCATCTTGTTTCTTTGCATTGCTGAACAGGCTGACCCCATGAGGGGATTTCTTTTCATTAAAAGGTACTATCGCTGAACATATGTATACATTTTTCTAAGCATTTATGCTCCCAATAAAGGACAACATAAATTCTTATGACAAACAATATTGGATAGCTTCCTGGGAGGGGCTCCTGATTATCTGAACTTCACCCTTCACCCCTCAATGGACACATCACTAGGATGTAGCTCGCAACTACCACAATGTCTGCATTCTGCTATGAATTCCCTACGTATAGCGGGTCTGATACACTGCTGGAGACTTCTTCACCCTGACAAACATGATTTTTCTTTTTCTTCAGCAGTGCATAACAGATACAATTGACAGAACCATACATGTGCTTGCTGCAAGCAGCTAATATTTTGCCAGTTCTATGGTCAGATCAAGCCCCCGTCTCAGCCAAGTTGTGCTCTCCTCTGTTCAAGTCCAGAGACTGCCAGTGGAAGCTCAATGAAGGTATACTTGAGGAATTGGAGATGGTGGAGGGAATTTGTGAGACTCTACACAGTACTTTGAGGAAAACATCTCCATGGGTGTCTCACCGTTAATAACATGAGAGGCACATAAGTGAGTAGTCCGTGGACATTTGATTAAAGTCTGTAAACTACGGAAAAAAAGAACAAAAACAACATGTTGGACATTTACATTTATCGACATGCTGGAGCAGACCCATGAATTAACTAAAAGCCCTCTTGGAAGTAGGCTGACTGTTCAAAAGTCTGCCCTCTCTCAAAAACTTAAATACACAATTCAAAGCAGGTTTTCTTTTTAAATGCAACAACTGAGGAAATTCACTCCGCCCTCAAACCTTCCAAGACTAACAAGGCACTTTGCCTGGACAGACTGACGATTGCATGCATCAAGACGTTCCATGAGCTCCTCCTGCCACAACTCCTCAATGGCCTTAATTCTCTAATTGATGTGAAGTTGTTCCCGCAGGATTCTTTGATGTCAATTATCGCCGTCATTCCAAAGGAGGGAAAGGACCTGGCCTGCTATTCTCCAAGGTGTTGGCTCTTTGGGTTGGAAGAGTGCTTCCTGATTTGATCGATTTTAGCCCGGTAGGGAGGTGAAGGATAACATAATCCATGTATTTAACCTGATGCATGTACCAAACACTATGAAATGCGGGATCCTTCTCCTGATGCAGATAATAGGATGCCTTGGGTATCTTTGTTATACACGATACCAAGTGCACAAATCAGTATTAACGATGTATTGTCGGAGCCTTTTGACATACGCAAAGGCACCAGACAGGGATGCCTCCTTCTCCCCCTTCCTGTTTGCCCTCACCATGAAAAATTTCTTGAGTCGGTCAGACGAGATAGGGGTGGCAGGACTTGAGGTTGGTGGACAGGAGCATAAAATAGCTTCATAAGCAGACGATGTGTTTTTCTGGGAGAACTCTATTTCTTGGAGAATTTAACTACCCAATCTCATACTGGTTCTCTCGGAATACGGAGTCCTCTTGAACCTCAAACTCAACATCGACAAATCTGAAGCCCTGCATATTGGGATGGCTGCATCAAGAGGCATCTCAACTGCAGTCCCAATTCAAACTCACTTGGTGCAGAGACTGGATTTGGCTCAAGTCTGATCTGAATAGATTGTATATGGATAATTTTGCGCCTATAAAAAGGGACAATATGAGCGGACTTGGAGATGTGGGACAAGCTGTGTGTTTCTTGGTTCAGCAAAATAAATTCGATGAAGATGAACCTATTGCCCAGGCTGCCTTATCTCTTCCAGATGATACCGATTGCTCTTCCACTAACAAATTACTTAACACCATGAATGCCCTAATCTCGAAACTAAAGCTCTCCTAAAGTAGCATGTTCGTTGCTACAACTATGTTGTCACTATGAGCTACACACTATAATACTCTCACACGAATCATAATGTCCACGCACATAGTCTCTGAGTTTTTCTGGACGTGATGACAGACAAAGGAAATGATCAAGCTCTGGAAAGGTAAGAATCTCACAGAAGTTCCCATCTCATGTTCCTTAGCCTTGTAGTCCATTAGGTCCTCCAATCACAGTTTCTTTTACATGTAATACTGAATGCATTTTGTTCCAAATGCATTTTCCTAGAGTTGGATAATTACTTGTTAAACAAATGTAGAATGTGCTGACCTTCTGTAGATCCAAAAACTGGTCATTCTTTTTTTCTTTAGAATTAAAGAAAACTGTATTGTTTGCCGTTAGCTTTGATTTATTTATTTTTAGTCATTTTACAAAAAAAAAAACGACATTAACAAATCAAGAATATAATTCCTACTACAGAGTCAGATGTACTTTATCAGAACAATTGTATAAATAACAAATTCAGATTTCTACACATCAATCTAAAATGCTAGCAGTGGTACATTTTACTTAAAGTGACACTAAGCAACATAACTACAACTTGTTGTTAATCTTGTCTATTATTCTAGGACCGTCCTGTTAAATGTCAGAGATTTAACATATATCCGGCCTCTTTGATGCACCTAGAGACGACCCCCCTCTTTGGCCTCATTGAAAATGAATTAACACTTTCCTTGATTAGCTGAGAACACTGGACTAACCTTTCCCCAGCACATCTAGGTCGCCCTGGTTGGAGGATGTTGATATTAATTACACAAAAGTGTTAATTCCACATTATAAATGTGGATGAGGAGGGGGACTTTCGCCAGTTACGTGATATGCTCCAGTTTACATCAAATTGCTACAAAGTGGTTTGAGGTGAAACTGGGGACAGCCCTGGAACTCTCTGAACAACATGCAGTTACATTGCTTAGAATGCGCTTTAATAACTTTTAATATTATTAAATAATTTATTACGCCCCGACAGTCAAAGTTTTAATTAAAGAAGTCTATTAAAAAAAAAAAAAAAAAATCCCTAAAGAACACGTGTTTTCATCTAACCAAACAAAAGTAAGCTTCGTTGTAATTACGAACTGATATATATGGATGCTGCTCACTGTAGTGAAAGGTCTTGTTGGAATTTTTTAAATCCTCAAAACCAGTTACCAAAGGAGAAAAGTAAAAAAAACAAAAAGTGTGTAACTAGCATGTAATGATTTTGTACTTTACCTACTTTTTTCCCTAAAATGGTTCCACTGTGCAAGAAAGGATAACGGTTTATCAAAAATATGACCGCTCACCAAGCCTAAGGCAAACTAAAATTGTTTTATTCAGCTTAAAAAAGATGCTTAAATTGTTAAATGTTGATGCAAAGACAATTTTTGACATCAGGACTGCTACAAGAAGTGGTGTCACTTTGAGCTTCTTACTTCCCAACAAATATTTGGGCACACATTTAAAGCGATACTTACACCATCTGGTACGTTGCAGAATTTGCAAAGACCTCCGACGGTGACATCAGGGCTAGTGGTCCAGTGGCGGGGGTAGAGCAGGTAAAGGTGAGCTTTACTTAGCTGAACTGCTGTCCTCATCCTCCAGCTGGTACTCTTTAGCAAGCCAACATCACGGCTGTAGCACGCAAGTACAGCTCTGAGGACTGTAGAGGACCCAGCGAGACCCTCCCTAAATAAAGTCAATGTCCTGCAGCTGTAACTGGTGACAGCTGGTGGAATTTACATTTCTAGGAGGCAGTACCTTTGCCTGTTGTCTAAGTGTCAGGCGTAGGAAATATACAGAGAATTTCAGTTTTCCAAAACAGTCAAAGTAATTCATAAAGATTCAATCGTAGCCTGCAGGTTATGATGCAAAGAGTACCCCAACACTATTCACTGGTTATGGAGCAAATAGTTTTGCAACAGCTTGTTTTCTTACATGGCTCTCGCAGGGAAAGGACCCTCCTCTGCTGTTGGAAGATATCTGTTGTCTGCAGAGCTGCAGACGCCAGATGCAGATCATGCAACGCTCTCAGTCAATGAACGATCCTCCATGCATTGAATATGCTCAGAATTTACATTTGCCTGCCTGGAAACCTTGTTGTTAATTCTGCGGAAAGTGGAATCAAGTCTGGCAGCAATAGGAAATATCTCTATGTGCAACATTTTATACTTTTCACCTCTTGAAAACTCTCAAGTTCACACTAAAAATGCCACTTCCCAACTTACTTCATCCTCTGCCTCCAGAACTCCAAGGGGTCAAGCATCTTTAAATGCTGGTGACGTGTATCCAGTTTCTGCACAAATGCTCACCCCACCAGTCATTCATTGGCTGAGAGTGTCAGTGGAGTGCTCTCAGTCTACGAATGACCTTCTGTTCTAGGAATAAGCTCAGAATTGACATAAGCTTACCCTGAACTCTCATTCCGGGATGACTGATGATGCTGACGGAGGTAAAGTTACACTTCTGAAAGCAATAAAAAACATTAAGTATATACAGCATTTCTTACTGAATTGCCCCAGGCACCATGAATACTTCAATACACTGAAGAGGACTTGGTGCTTGTAGTAGCCCGTTAGCCACTCTCACAAATAATTTGCACACACGCAACTATCCAATTACATGCATAAAACATACTTATCCAGCCACAGTCTAGTTTAATTCTTCCAGTTGAAATGCAATCTATTAGGCGATCACCACACTGATACAGGCCAGGATTTCCAGAGAGGAAAGAAGGCTCATAACTGACAGAGCAGCAGAAAGAGATGATAGTTCTTCTTTTGGAGGCACCTAGATCCGATACACTTGCAAAGACCTATTGCAGTGCCAGCCCGGTCCTCTGGGGTACATATGGAAAATGAACATATTCAATATGTCCGTCTCAAATACAAAGAAACAGACCATAGCCAGGCTTAATTCCCACTGTCGTATACCACTTGTGCTTACACATACTAGGTGTAGCTAAAGATCTAAAGCGAGATTGAAATATTTCAATAAAATAGTTTACATATTGTGTTGGATTACTTGGTAGAATAAATCAAATTACAAAAAAAAAAAATGTTTTGAAAAATAAACTAAAAACACACTGCAGATTCTTTCAACTCTTTGTAAAAAAGGCAAACAGTGTAATGTAAGCTCTGAATAAAAGACTGCAAATGCTATTTATACTAGTACTAGTCAGACATATTAAACTGCTTAAGATAAAAGCTGCAGTCTTACATTGGGCTGCTATCAATAGAGGATGCCATATGCAACGTTACAAGTCACATCCTCCAAGTTTGTCATATAAAGGCTGACTAGACCAGAAACTGCTTATACATACACATCTTCCCAGCACTCCGGGTGCTTATTATTAGATATAATATTGAAAATTTTCAACATATATGTTAATTATTCACAGGTTACGTTAAGCACTACAAGATACTTCAGATTGTTTAAGTGGTTATAGTGCAAGGAAAATGTACAGTGTTGCATCTTCAAACACTGATAAGATATTTGCCATTTATTGCTAGGTTGTAACCCCCACTTCTGGCTCCTATTAGCTGTATGTCTTTCAAGTTCCCTATTATCTTCTAAGTTTCCTTCTAGTCTAGAATTGTATTGTGCAGTCTGCAAGCACACTGATAAAACCATGGGTCTGATAACTATGTTGGCACTGTTTTTTTTTTTTTTACTGCATTACCTTTATAATGCATTATAAGCAGGGGATAATTTCGCTCCATAGTTTCCCTTTAAACAAATATGTTCTTCAACTTCAACATTAGGGACCTTTACAGAGTATGAACTTCAGAAATTTCGACTTTGAACTCTAGCGGTTGCAGGCTATGAACGTGAGAGCTGCATTTTGGGCATGTAAAGTATGCATCGGACATAGAATTGCTCTTGATACAGTAGTAACAAAAGACATGAGAACAGCCAATGGTATGCGGCATAGTTGGCCATTCTCCACATAAACAACATTCCTTACAATGAACAGCTAGAGAAGGATCATTGTGTCTGAGCCCCTGGATAGGTTTGCACCATGAAAATAACTTTAGCTTAAGTTTGTGTGTGTTAATGAGTGGCAGAAGAAAGATAAGAAACTCTGCAAATCCATGCCACAAGATTTCTCTGTTCATGTATTCGAACCCCACATGGCGCACGTTCTGAGGCTTGATGAAGGTGGAACGTATTCTGAGAAGGCGTTCTGTCAATGTTGCAAACTTTCCTTGCTGTAGGAAGATTAAAAAATTCAAGAGTTCGCTAACCTTCAGGAGACCGGCACAGGCATTGATTAAGGATCTTGTTTTCTGAAAGGATGACCCAAGTGGGTGGTTACTGAATAAGTCGTAAGACCTCTCTGCTAGCCATTTGCCTCCAACTGTGAAGAGCGCGAACCAAACCTTTTGCTGCTTATTCATTGGCCTGTACGTTTTTGTTTGAGATAAATCATTTTTGTACTGGATATTCAAAATTGCCTGGCCAACAGTTGCATTGTTAGAGTAGACCGTATATCTCCACAAGAAAAGCCATAAAAATGCTTTAATCTCTGGTTCAAAGCGAGTCAAAATTCCTGGTTTAAATCCTTGAAAACAACTGTTAAATTGGGACCAGATTAATTGCTCTAACGCCTTGTTTAATTCAATAGCATCCATTTGACTTATTCGTAACACAGGATTTATGTCTTCCATATTGTTTTCAGTTACTGCCATTTTCTCCTGATAAACAAAAAAAAAAAAAAAAAGCTATTTAATGTGAACATTACTCATTGACATGAAAATTCTGGATTTAACGCAGACATTTTAAGAACCAAAATTAGAAGACCGTCTAACAAAGTACCATTCAACAAATACATAAAATAATAATCCTGAGTATTTTGCAATAATAAAATTACAATGATTTCCTGGTTTCTTCAGATGTCATTGCAGAGTTTGCAGGGGATGTGCCTTGCAGTGTAATGGACACTAAGTACCAGAACAACGTTAGCTTAATGAAGGAATTTTGGTGTATAGATCATGCCCATGCAGTCTCTCACTGCTCAATTCTTTGCCATTTAGGAATTAAGTCACTTTTGTTTCTACATCCCAAAGCCACAACTGTCCTGTTTGTGACTCACACAGCCAACATGAATGGTTTCATTCTCAATCAGATCTTACAGTACAGTGCGTTTAACTTAAAAAGTTCTTACCTCATACTCTATTAATTGAACTTTAATCACACATGAGGCTCCTGCATGCTCTAGCAGGCTATTAACAGAGCAGAAGATAAACTTGTTCAGCAATAGATGAAGTTTAAAAATTCACTCTCCCTTTACAGAAAATGTGAAGGTAAGCTGTGGGAGTCACATTCAGGGGAGGTATGGCTAGGGCTGCATAAACAAAGTCATGTAACTGAAAGGCATAGAATTGAGCAATTTATTTAAGCTAAAGTTTTTTTGGTGGTCTGAGTGTCCCTTTAGGTATATTTATATTTTGATGGGAATTATGGTATATAACACCTCCAGTATTCAACTTTAGGTTAAAGGACTAGCTATCAAACAGAGTGTATACCACTGTGCTATAAGATTCAAGTGAGGGTTTAACAATATTAAACATAATTTTGACCCCTAATCACATAGCATAGCAATCATTCTTCTTGTGTATGCAAAATGTAATGTCACATTAGGTAACAATAGCACATGACAGCTTATGGAAAACAGCAGATGGCAACTTTTTGTTTTTTACATCCACGTTTTACAGTTTCCAATACAGCAATTATTGATTTTTATTATTGATATATAATTTACCATGTTGGCATTCCAGTGAAATTCCAATATGGTCTATACATGTGTTTTGTTTTTCCATTAAAGATTATATGTTCATAAAAACCTTGGTGCTGCTTTAAAATAACAATACTACAATAATAGATAAAGATGTACAATTACAATTATTTATATAGCACCAACATATTCCACAGAGCTGTACAATAAGACAAATATTTAATTCTTATAAAAACCATGTATGGCGTACTAGAGCAGTAGGTGAAGGCGGCCATGTACAAACCGGGTACTCTAACCATTGTGCAAAAAACGGATTAGGAGAACTACTGCCATGGCTAGGAAAGGGTTTACGGGAGAAGATCAGATCCCATAAACCACAATGAGAAACTACTGATTTTTGCAGTCTCTCAGTAGTTGCCTGCCTATTCAAGGACACTGGAAACTTTAAAGCCAAATATTTTATTTTTAATACACTAGAAAAAGTGAGGTTATTTCTAACACTGTCCCTTAAAGGAGCATTCTAAGCTAAACAACCACTACAGCTCAGAGTGGTGTTATGTTGCACATAGTCTCTGGATACTATTCTCTGATTCTATGTCTAAACGTTTATGAGTGGATTAGCAAACAAAAGAAAAAAGAATAAAATGGCCAGAGACTGTCATCTAACCTACTTGTTAGGTATAGGCTAAGAGGGTGCTGGAATAACCTCTCCCTAGTGCAGAAGATTCACTACCACAGATAAAGCCTTATCTGTGCAGCCGCAGTGGATTTTTGATTTGGGTGCCTTGGTGAGGCAGGGTATGCCAACACATACTGAAAAACTAGAACAAGTTTCAGAGACACCATGCACCATTAACACTGGAATACAAAAATATCTACACTAAAAATTGCAAAATAATATACTTTACACAAATTCTTTTTCTAGAATACTTACATGTTTAGAACATGAGAAATAGGTTTAATTCACACATTGTGAGTGTGTGCATGTGTATATATTTAGCTTATTGCACTGAACAGAGGCAATATAGAATATCTAACAACAACATAAAGAAGACTAGTTTGGCTGTGAATGTACTTGCAAAGCTTTCGTGTTTCTTTTGTTGTAGGTGGAAATGAGAAGTGGAAAGAAAAAACAAAGAAAAAAAGCCTAACATTTCTCAAAAAGTACTTTAAACTGTCACAGAGATATAACATCATGGGAAAAAGAAAGCTCACCCTCTTTGAGTTCTATGGTTTTTCATATCAGAACATAAATCATCTGTTCGTTAGCAGGTCTTGAAATTAGGTATATACAACAGCAGATGAACAACAAATGACATATTATACTGTGTTAAGATTTAACAAAAATAAAGCCAAAATGGGGAAGTCATGTATGGAAAAACGAAGTACACCTTACGATTCGGTAGCTTGTAGATCCACCTTTAGTAGCAATAACTGGAAGTAATTTCTTCCCCGTATGATTTTAAAAGTCTTTAACATCGTTGTTGCTTCAGTTCATTGAGGTTTGCTGGCATTTGTTTAAACGCAGCTCTCTTAAGAGTCCCGGCACAGCATTTCAATTGGATTGAGGTCTGGACTTTGACTGGGCCATTGCAACACGGTGATTCCTTTCTATTTCATTCTGATGTAGATTTTGTGGTGTGTTTGGCATCATTGTCCTGTTGCATGACCCAATTTCGGCCAAGTTTTAGCGGTCAGACAGATGGCCTCATATTTGACTCTAGAATACTTTGGTATACATTGGAGTTCATAGTCTACTCAATGACTGCAGGGTACCCAGGTCCCGTCGTTGCAAAACAAGCACACATCATCACCCCTCCACCAGCGTGATAAAGGCATTTGTGCCAATATACTTTATTTGGTTTTCGACAAACATGGCACTGTGCTTTATGGCCAAACATCTAAACTTTGGTCTTGTCTGTCCAAAGGATATTATTCCAGAAGTCTAGTGGTTTGTTCAGATGCAACTTTGCAAACCTAAGCTGTGCTGCCATGCTCTTTTTGGATAGAAGAGGCTTTCTCCTGGCAACCCTTTCAAACAAACCATTCTTGTTCAGTCTTTTTCCAATTGTACTGTCATGAACTTTGACATTTAACATGCTAACTGAGGCCTGTAGATTCTGACATGTAACTCTTGGGTATTTTGCAATATATCGGAGAATTGCACCGTCTGACCTTGGGGAGAATTTGCTGGGTTGCCACTCTTAGGAAGATTGACAACTATCTTGAATGTTTTCCACTTTGAATAATCTTTCTCACTGTAGAATGATGAACTTTAAATTGTTTGGAAATGGCCTTATAGCCCTTCCCAGTTTGATGGGTAGCAACAATTGCTTCTATATGATTATTTCTTAAGTCTTTCCTCCTTGGCATTTTGTTAACACAGCTGAATACCCCAAACTAGCAAACTGCTAAAACATTAGCTTTTATAGAGGTGGTCACACTTGCTGATCAATTAATCAAGGGCATTTGATTAGCAGCACCTGTCTGCTACTTAGCTTCTTAATTCCTATGGAAGCAATAATATAGTTTTTCCACACATGGCTTCTCCATTTTGGCTTTATTTTTGTTAAATAAATCAGGACCTGGTATCGTATGTCATGTGTTGTTCATTTGAAGTTGTAGTTACCTAATTTTAAGACCTACTAAGGAACAGATGATTGTTATGCCCTGATATGTAAAACCATAAAACACAAAGAGGGTGCACTTTCTTTTTCTCCTGACAGTGCATACAATACACAGACCCACACAATATGTTTGTTATTTCAATAAACACACAAATACATGTAAATTGTAAGGTGTGACCATGGGAGAGGGTCAGTATTGCGGCATCCTTCCGAAGTACAACTCCTACTAATCTATGGCAGATCGAGGCACATACAGCCCATTGTTGCTCTGAGATAAGTGGGCCATGCACTGTGCAGGGTCAATTACAACAAACAGATTTATTAAATACACAGTGAGATGCCACCCACTATGCAATACAAGAGATACAATCTGATCTGCCTTTTGAAATAAACAGTCAAATGTACAACACACTTAACCGTTTCAGAACTCACAAGAGGGCTTCCACAATGGTAAGGGATGTGCATAAACCTGGAGGGAGTACATTTTCCTCCTTGGCTGAATATACCATATCGCTAAACAAAAGAATAGTTACAGCAGGTGGGCTTCATTGTGATCAACAGACAAAGAATAAACTCAATAGAAATGGGAAAAAATGAAAATTGAAATGGCCCAGGGACTATTCATAAAAATGCCTTCCTCTTAGCTACCTACTGACATTCGGTGCACATCACATGAACATCATGTTTCAACAAAGGATGACCCCGGTTTCATGCACAAAACTTGAGAACAAAAGAGAGGTTCCTTCTCTCAAGGTCAGCACACCAATAAAAAGAAAAGCCAAAGAGCAACATTGAGCAGATTCCTAAAATGTGGCAGTGACCCCAGCATAGCCATTTGTAGGATTTTCGTTCCCACTATAAAGACAAAGAACACACTCCTAAACACACTATTAAGAGTGGAGGCTTGCAAATCTTAATTACAAAGAATAATAATAAGTCGGAATATATATGCTTCTCATTATGCAGGATACGCTGAACTCTTCTCAAGCATTGTTATAACTAATCTATAACACTATGTTAGAGACACTCCAGTCACCAACACCATCTTGATGTGTTTTATAGCCTTTTGGCGTAAATAACTACCTATATTTTTGAGCACTTCATTTAAGTATATATATTTATATTAGGGATGCACCGAAATGAAAATTCTAGGTCGAAACCAAAAATTCAGGATGCCCTTGTCCGAAAATGACTTAAAAAAAAAAAAAATGTTTTTCCTATAATTTTATTATACTTTTTAATGAATTTAATCCAATATGAAAAACTTCCCTTCTCTCTTCTCTTTTAATTGCTCCCCTCCTTAATGTTCCTCTCCGCTCCCTCTTTTTTTAGTGTTCTCTCCCCCCACCCCCTGTCCCATAGGGTTCTTTTCTCCCCCCCCTCCACTGTCCCCATAGTATTCTCCCCCACCCCGTCCCAAGTGCAGTATTCTTGACTTTTCATGTTATCATTACTATCTTACATTGTGATATATAATCATTTGAATTGTTAATGCAAGCATGTCTGTTAAACTATGCACTACAAAAAAAAAAAAAAGACAACAAAAACCGGCAAATCTGACCCGTTTTCGGCCAAAAGGGGATGGGCCCATTTTCGGCGTATCCCTAATATATATATATATATATATATATATATATATATATCACAAGATTCTTAATCTTAAAGTGGCAATGTAATTTTTAAGGTTTTTATAAAGATTATTTATAGAAATCTTTTGCTGACTTTGTTGGAATTTCCTTGAATTTCCAATACAATAATATACAAATGAAACAAAGTAGGGACTACTCATGCAAGACCCAACTTTTGGCAACATATGCATTAAAGGACCACTATAGTGCCAGGAAAACAAACTTGTTTTTCTGGCACTATAGGGTCTTTGTGACCCCCCATCCTCAGGGTCCCACTTCCGCCAGGCTCAAGAGGGAATAAACACTTACCTTTTTCCAGCGACTCTCCTCCCTGTTCCAAAGTCATCCGCCGAATGCACATGCGATCAATCCATAGGAAAGCATTTTTCAATGCTTTCCTATGGACGGCAGCGTCTTCTCACTGTGAAAATCACAGTGAGAAGCGTGGAAGCGCCTCTAGCGGCTGTCAATGAGACAGCCACTAGAGGCTGGATTAACCCTAATGTAAACATAGCAGTTTGCAGCTGCAGTGTTAACCCTAGATGGACTTGGCACCCAGACCACTTCATTGAGCTAAAGTGGTCTGGGTGCCTATAGTGCTCATTTAAGTGTATGTGTTTGACAGTGTTTACTACAAAAAGCCTGAAGGGAATTATCTTACTCACCAGCTGTAGTTGCTCTTGTGACTATAGTTTCCCTTTAAGCAGTGACAATACATGCCTATGACTGCAGTATCTTCCACAGACCCAGTTTTGTACACATCATTAAAGAAATAAAACTTCAGAAGACTATCCCACAACCTACTTCAGCTGATGCTTAACCCCTTTCCCAAAAACAAGTTAAAGTGGCACTGTCTTCACTCCCCAAAAAAATCTGTTTTTCATAAAGAGAATCTTTATGAAATAATTTTGACGGTGTTGGAATTTTACTTAAATTCCAGACCAGTTAAGAGATATACATAAATAAAAAAGGGACTACTCCTCCACCTGACTTCCTTAGACTAAAGGCAGAATCCAAGAGTCAACCCCAACAGCCATCACTATCGAGACTGCGGGATCCCCCATAGACCTCAATGCTGTACTCTCATGCATGCGCCAGAGTGCGGCAGTGATGTCGGATCCTGGCAGTTGAAGAGGAACAGCGCAGGGAAACGGACAGGTTCGGGTAAGAAATCTGACCTTTATCGCCCCCCTCCCAGCAGCGATATCACTGTGATATGAGAATTCAACAAAGTCCTCAGACAGTGACGCTTTAAATTAATTTAAGTTGTTACGGCAACAAGAGTGTTTAACCCTCTGAGTGCCAGTAATATGGCCAGCACATTGCAAAACAATGTGAATGTTGCTTTTGTGTAAGAGGATATATTGCCTGATTTTGTTCATTTTAGATTTAAAAGTTTAATGCAAGGAGCATGACCACTTAAAGTATTTTGCAGTGGTAATGGTCTTTGGAATCTGCACACGCAGCATTTCAGAATGAAGCGCTGTACATTATTATTGTTTTTGGCATTTATACAGCGCCAACTTATTCCGCTGCGCTTTACTATATTATAAAACAGGGAATTTAACAACAAATGAGACAATTACAAAAAGTTACAGGAACAATAGGTTGATGAGGAACCTGCTCAAAAGAGCTTACAGTCTAGGAGGTGGGGGGATGAAAACACAATAGATATTATTACACACAGCCAACACACACACATTGAAAATACATCATACCCACACTTTACATACAGCAAGCACACACACCATGTCCACACTATGACAAAAAGAAAGTATGGGAGAGCAGAGGGTAAGACACTCAGGATAATGCACAAACTCAACATTTTTGCACTCCTCATCCCCACCCTCCCTCATTTCATTTGTGAAAATTCAGTTTTGCAAATATCCCTGTCAATGTCCAAGGCTCTTGGAAGGGGCTCCAATCTTGAAACTGAAATTATTTTGTGTCATAAGAAGTAGATTGTCATGACAGAAAGGTAGATGAGGTTACAGGATTAGTTCCATTTAACAAGATGATTTAAAAAAAAAAAATAAATAAATAAATAAAAGAAGTTTCACACCACAGTCAGTAACAGAAGTATAACAAGAAATAAGGAGCACAATGAAAGGGACTCGTATTTAGCAAAACTGACTCCATTTAAGTCAGGAAACACAATTTTTATAAACACTGTGCACTCATGCATTCAGCCTTTTAGGCAAAGTTGTTGTTTTTTTGCATGATTTAGTCAATTGCACTCTCTCACTCATTATTAATAAAATGCAAAGCTTACACGAAGCCTGACCCATCAAACAATCAACGATTTCTGAGCCCTGAAGAAAACCCCTTTTTTAAATAAAGCAAAATGGGCCAAATATTTATTTTCGTATTTCATGCCACAGGGAATTACATTACGAAGCAATGTGTTGCCTGCCCCTCTGGTGTCAAATGCAGTGAGCACAGTTACAAAATCTAACCTAGGCTATAATACCAAATGACAGCTCTGTATATGACACCCTCAAGCAACCTACGCTAATACTGCCCCAAGTGGCCTCACACAAGTGCATTTTGTATTATGAAGTGTAGCCTAATTTATAATCCATGTCAAATCCACTTTTCATAACATTATTTCGAGGAGATTTTAAAACTATTTTAAACTATGTTAGGACTGTGTTGGCCCATATAAAGCATAATGGCAATGTACAAAATCTGTACATTAATATACCATAAAAATGTTTTTTATATCATTAGGCCTTTATTTACTAAGCAGGTAATTTTGGTAAAGTGACCTCCGAACACTTTGCAGTTATTTTTCCAAGCTAGTCAAATTTAGGGTTACCCTCACAAACGGTATAAAAAAAAAAAAAAAAATTACTTGTAGCTTCTCTAGAACTAGAAATCTAGTCACGTAAACACAAAGGCCCCAGGGCCGAAACGTATTTTGTTTTTGTACTTTTAACTAGAATAGATTCTTTTAATTTGCGCCCTATGTGGCTTTCTACTTATACCAACATATTTACCACTTCTGTGCAGCACTCTACCTGTATTTTGTGTCTCTAGTTTAAAAAGGACCACCATTTCATGTATACTATTAATAAAGTTTTACAAAATGTGTGTGCATGCAATATATCACTATTTATTTTTTTTCTCTCTACTGGTCTACTTGAAAATATCAAACTAAAGTCCAAATTACATTGCATTAAAGGTACACAAATACAACACTGTACAGAATAAATCTAACATTTTATATTTTCATAGCAGTACGTTTAGCTCTGGTCATAGCCAACAATAATGTTGATTACACAAGAGGGGGGTGGTGGTGGTGGTAGTGGTGGTGGTAGTGTGTGTGTGTGTTTAAAAATAAAAAAAAAAAACACACACACACCATTATAAACATAAAGCTAGTGGATATTATGAGGTCCATTAGGGAAATGATTGCTGAACTTCATGCAAGAATGACCTTCTTCAAGATCAAAGCATTATCAAACTCTGTATATATATATATATTTTTAAATCAGTTTACCAGAATAAGCAGCAACAACCATTGTTATACAGCAGGGAGGTTAACTTTTAACACACAAGCCATTTGTGGACAGAGCTCCTATGACCCTCAGCCACACTGATGTCAGCAAGGCTAGCTGTCACTACTGTGTCTCATTAGGCTGGTGAAGGCTGTCCAGCTGCAGTATCTTGGAAAACAAGGCTGGCTATTCAGTACACAGACACACAGAACGCGGTCAGCGAGCAGAGGAGAGCACTCACAGCAACTGTCATGCACAGCCTCCCAGACCTCTCCCTGCACCCACCTGACTCTGTCTCTACTTCCGCGTTGGCTTTAAATCACGTGACTGGGCGCAGGGGCTACGGAAGGCAGCGGGGACCAAAATGCCGCGTCCCGCGTTCCAAGAGAGGAAATGGTGTGTGTGTGAGGAGGGGGGTATTTACAAAGGGAACGCGGTAAACCCCCTTTAACAAGAAAGACACAGATAATGCAGGGGTAATGCAGGACTCTATTTGTTATTATTATTTATTATATTGGATTTTGTAACACCCCTGTTTGATTGAAAATCAGGGGCGAACTCACTAAGTGCTGAAATTGTTTTTGTTTAGCATTTACTTAGGATATGTTGAGAGACTTCATAATGAGAGTATAGAAAAAATACCTAAATCTTGTGTTAACCCTTTTTTTTTCACATCAATCTCTGTCTTCTTTGAAATATTGCTAGGCACTATAACCACTTCAGCATATTGAATTGGTTATGATCCCGGGATGCTGTCATTGCACCCATTCATTTTACTAATTTATCATACTGACAAAATAGTGCTTTAAACTGAGTCTCGATAACAATGGCGATATACCTGCTTTCAGAGCGCTTCAAAAAGGGCCATCTTTAGTATTGACTGTACAGCGCTGCGGAATTTATTTATATAAATAATAAAATAATAATAATTGGATCCTGGGCAAAGCATTTGCTTGGGCCCTGCCCCCCTCCCTCCCACTGCCTGCAATCTCCACTCCAATGCAGTGGCGGAACTAAAGTAGAGAGATGCAAGGATTTTTTGGGCCCCCCAATCACAAAGGTGACCAAAAGGTAGATCCCCATTTGTCGTGCAACTCCAACAATGCATTGACAGCTTGGGCTCTACTATTTACCCATGTTTGCAGTTTTGTATTTAGCACTGAGCAGTGTTTGTGTATTTGAATGTAAGCATGTTTTTGGTGCTTAACACAGAGGTGTGTTTGTATGTAGTGTTGGCATTTCAATGCAGGAGTGTGTTTGTACATAGTATTGAACAAGCCCAGACTGGCCATCGGGCATACCGGGCAACTGACCGGTGGGCCGCGATGGCCGAGGCCAGCAGGGGAGATCACAGCATCTCTCCTGCCAGCCCCTGCAGGGCTAGCCCTATCCGACCGCCGGCCCTTCTGTGTGCCTCCATGGGCAGGTGGGGAGATCAAAGATCTCCCTCACCGGCCCAGAGGCACCTATATGCAGCCGCCGTCTGGGGAGTGAGGGAGGCAGGCTGGGGAGCTCTAGCCAGCAGCTCCGCCGGGTTCCTCTCGCGAGGTCTGAGCATTGCCGCAGTTACCACGGCAACGCTCAGATCTCGCAAGAGTAAACTCTAGGCCTGCAGGCTAGAGTTCATTCTCACCACTGAGACCACCAGGGAAGGCAGCACGGCACCGTCCTCCATGGAAACCTGGCTCCCCACCCCACTCCCAGGCTAAAGGTAAGAAGGGAGGGGGGGATATTTCTTTTTTTTTTTTTTTAAATAAAAAAAAAATACATATTTTAAAAAATATACACTAACAGCACACTTGCACAGTCACACACAGCACACTCACACACACAGCACCCCCAGACACACACAGCACCCTCAGACACACACACAGCACCCTCAGACTCACACACAGCACCCTCAGACTCACACATCACCCTTTAGACACACACAGCCCCCTCACACACAGATGGCACACTCAGACACACACAGCATCCTCATTCACACAGCACCCTCACACACAGGCGGCACACTCAGACACACACAGCACCCTCAGACACAATACACTGTCATACATTATTATTATTATTACTGGTATTTATAAAGCGCCAACAAATTCCACAGCGTTGTGTATATATAAATAAGTGAAAAAAACGTCTTGCACTCACGGACTTGAAATGTGAAACAGGAATCTCTTTATTCAAATAGTTACCAGAACAAAGTCAGTTCATCCTGATGAAAGCCCCGGACGAGGGCTGAAACGTTGGTGTGACAATGTTATGACAACTATTTGAATAAAGAGATTACTGTTTCACATTTCAAGTCCGTGAGTGCAAGCCGTTTTTTTCACTTATTTATTTTTGATGGCTTTGGCTTGTTAGCACCTGGCTTTAATACATTAGTGGTTTGGCCTGAGTGCAAGGACGTATCAATTTTTTTATATATATATATATATATGTATATGTATGGACCGTTTTGCACAAAAGGGGAAAAAAACGTTTAGGCGATTGGCCCCCTTTCCAGAGATGCAGGCACAGCTACTGCAGAACACCAAACACACGAACCGCCAATAAGTGAATGCTTCAAACTCCCGAACGGCATCCAATATAGCACTCCAAATACACAAACAGGAACCATACGAATTGCTGCTACCAGACGAATAGGAAAAGCATCCAAGCGGCTTACACTCCTAGCAATCAGTCTCTATCAGCATTCAGTAAATCCCCCCCAAAGACGAGACAAGGCTCCGTGTTGTGGGTCAAGCAGTGGTCTGTTTAATGAGGGCTACTTGCCCAGTATTTATGCAGGTCTTCCACCTGGTGGACACTCCCCTAGAGGACTAAATGGGAGACTGTGACAAGGGACAGACAAGCAGACAAATAGGACACACAGTCACAGTATATTCCCACAATGCATCCTGGCTTCCTCCCCTCTGCCCTGGGAGATAATTGAGAAGTAATTCAATTATCTCCCAAGACAAAGGCAAATCTCCATTATGCACATGGGGATACTAAAACAAGCATTACTGTTAAAATACACCAGGTAAGACACATTACATTAAAACTATACATTTAACATATCCCAAGATAGCTCAGGTCTGAGCGCACATTATTAAGTGAATGGCGCTCAGACCACATGAATACAGTTTAATCGCCATTGAGCCAAAGTCTTTACAGTCAGTTTCATACGAATGGGCTCCATGGGATTCCTATCTGGGGTATAACACATTCAAACAAAACTACCGAACACTGGGCCGTTCGTGCACTTCCACCGAACAAGAAGGGAGGTCGGCGGCTTCAGCGGTGTTCGCGCAAAACTGTGTCCGATTTTAGTTCCATGAAAATAGGGGCGAACACCGCTGTGCATTCGTATGTTTAAAATGGCCGCGACCTCGTGTTCGGGATACGAATGGCAGCCACCCAGCATTCGTCAATTAAGCTGCAGTTAACCACCGCTTCAGGGAGGTTAATTGCCGGCACACTCCAGCTCCCAGGTGGTCTATTCATTCGTGCGGTTGTTCGGTAGATTGAATCTACCGAACAACCGGCAGAAAAGCACGAATACAGCTTTTCTGCAGGCGAAATAAAGTCTTTTAACAGGGGGGCCATAGTCCAGATGCAGCAGGCGAGCAACCAGGCTTCTCCAAGGCAATGTGGAGAGATTGGTCTCGTCACAATATATATATACTATAGCACCCCTCACACTGCACCACTACACACATTACGCTCTAGATGCACGCTAGATTCCTTACCCTGTATACACTCCGAATCCTACACACACACACACACACACACACAATTTCCTGTACATACTCTGGGTCCTTTATACATTAGATTCCCTACACACACACTGCACCACCTACACACACTACATTCCTGACATACAAACTCTGGATCCCCTATGCACACACTACATTCCTTGTAAGCAAACACACACCACATTCTCTAAGCACACACTCTCTACAACCCCTGCACACACTACGTCACCTATACACACACTACAACCCATATGCAAACACTTGCTACATCCCCCATACACACTATGCCCCTTATACACACACTCTCTACAGCCCCTAGCCACACATATTACACCACAAACACAAATGAAATCACCCTATTTACACAATACCACACCACAATCAGCTCACTACACACGCAATCCCATAAGCAGGCTCCAAACACATGCACAATACGCTTTCCTGGCCCTTTTGTCCTCTGGTATCCCACTTATGGAGACACCAGAGACAATTAAAAAGCAAACACAGCGCAAGCATGTAATTACATTTGCTTGCGCTGCGCCGAACAACTACGGGGCCGTTTTCTCATGCTAGAGATCTTCAGCGGGGCTCTGCGCATTGAACCATGCTGTCTTTGAGAGGGGGTGTGCTTGTCATAAGTGATGACAATACACACCCTCTCTAGTCCCGCCCCCTTTTAGGGGGCCGCTGTGATTGAAAAATGCCCGGGCCGAATTTTTTCCCAATCCGACCCTGGTATTGAAGATGTGTATTTGTGTGTTGTGTTTTCATGTGAATGCTGAGTCATGCACATTCACACACACAGATACACATACACACACTGAAACACATGCAGATATAGAGATATACAAACTGACACACATGCAGATATACAGACACATATACATACACTAACATACATCTGGACAAACAGATACACATCCTGACACACATGCTTATACACAGATACACACATATATACACACTGACACATACACACAATGACAACATATGTTTTGTGGACCCAGGACATACTTGAAAACAAGAGAAATCTCAATGTATCTTTCCTGGTAAAATATTTTATAAATAAATAAATATAGATACACACACAGTTGCACATACACATATAGTGACAGACATACTGACACACACACACAGACTTACGCTGATTGACATACTTACACAGACACATACACTGTTAGACATACTGACACACACACAGACAAAAAGACAGGCATACTGACACACACACAGTCATAGTGGCACACACTGACAGAAATCCTGACACATTCACTGACGCACACTCACTGACATACTGCCACATACAGGCATACTGATACAGACATGCACATACACACACAAACACATTGACAGACCTACTGGCACACACACTGACAGACATATTGACACACACACTGACAGACATACTGACACAGACACATACACTGAAAGACATACTGACAAACACACAGACAGACACATATACTGACACACAGAGACACACACACACACTGACAGACATACTGACACACACACAAACGCAAAAGGTACACTTTTAAACTCACCCTCCAGTTTCCTACCTTGGCGGGTGGCTTCTCCTGTGTCCAGGTTGGTGGCTGAAGCTGTTGGAAGTTGGAATTTAGCTCTCCCCTCCCAACCCTCCTTCCGCTCTGCCTCCTCTGTCTCTCCCGTGCGGTTCTTCTCTTTGTGGGAGGAAGTGACTCACGGCTGTCACTTCCTCCCATGCTGCTGAAATGCAAGTGTGCCTGGTCGCGCTGTTAAAGCAGCACAGCGCACAACTGGGCCCTTGCTCATACAAAGCCACCAGGTAGCCCTTAGTGCATGTGCCACCCAGTGGGCATCCTTAGTTGCGGGTCCCAAGCTGCACTGGCGGGCCCATGGAGGGGAAAAATATATGGTTGAGGGCAGGGGGCCCAATGGGATAGTTGCTTTGGGTTCCCCAAAAGTAACTGGGCCTGAGGCAGCTGCCCTGTTTGCCCCGCGTTAAAGACGACCCTGGCTTCAACTCATCCTATATAATGAGTGGAACGGCTGCTGAGAGATAAGATACTTGTCTCATAAATTGCTGTTGCCTGAAGCTGCCATCAGCTTTTCCAAGCTGCACATTTTCAAGATATTGGAAGGTTATTATTTATTTAATTTATTTTTTACATTGTTTTTTTATTTAGTTATCTAACTACCATAAAAAAAAAAAATCTTCTTGAAGTTGTCTGGGTGCAGTGTCCCTGTCCCCCTTAGTCCTGCAATGTAAAATATTACAGTTTCCCTAAAACTGCAATGTTTTACAATGCAGGACTAAGGGGGACAGGGACACTGCACCCAGACAACTTCAAGAAGATTTTTTTTTTTTTTTTTTTTGATATGGTATTTAGATAACTAAATAAAATATATATATTTAAGTACTAAGACTGCTTCTAATGGCTGTCTGCCAGACAGCCACAAGAGGCGCTTCCTGAGTCTTTGAGACTTTGTGAAACAACACTGGACTTTCTCACACTCCCCAAAAGAAAGCATTGAGGCAATAGCATGCGCTTTAGGTCCCCCCCCATCGGATGGCATCAAAGGAGGTGGACTGCGACCCAGCTTTGAGGGACTGTAATCTCTTAAGTGAACATTGGGTTATTTAAGCCTGTACAATGCTGGGAGATTGCAGTGGGGGAGGGGCAGGTAAGTAGGTCAGATTCCATTTAAATATATATTTTACAATGGTGTATCCTGCATATGATACATTTTCCAAGTTTACAGTAAAGCTTTTTCAGCAACACTGATTATTTAGTGGGAATTTGACATACAAAACCACAGCAGTTGAAATTTAGAATGTTGTTTATAAATAGTAAGTAGAAAGCACATGTGTATCTAAAAATACATGTTTTATTTATTTACTCACAAGCCCATGTTAGTTGCCTTGTAATTCTTTTTCTTCGTACTTCCCTACCAAACAATAATGCATATGTTAGCGAATGAGTCACATTAAATTGGCAGAAGTCCCAGATAAAAACGACACCAACACAATACGAATAACAAATAGGGCTGTAATTAAGGTAGTCTGTAACAAGTGTGCACTTAAATGTTAAAATTTAGTTGAGCCAGTCATGACACTAGGACTTGACTACTTGTTTGGATGACACGAAAGTTGTTTTGCTTTTATCTAATAGAGCCTAAGGGAAAAGCAAAACTCTTTTCCATATCTTAGTCAATACATGGTAAATGTAATTTATCATCTTGGTATGGTATTAAGCGAGGAGCTAGTGACCAATACAGGGACATACATGTTATGGAGCCTACAATTATTATTATTATTATTATTTATAAAGTGCCTACAAATTCTGTAACACTGTACAATAGGTGGACGAACAGACATGTATTTGCAACAAGACAAGTTGAACGCACAGGAACAGAGGGCGTTGAGGGCCATGCTCAAGCAAGCTTACATTCTAGAGCTTAAAGTGGACTAGAGTACCTGTAAAAAGGGCACAAAATGATTATTTAACAAATTGCATTTCCCTAAATTTAGCAATTTTGAAAGTAGAACTGCAGCATAGTAGAATAGCTCACAGATAGTGACATATTTATTTGAAACCGGAACTTGTCCGGATGTACAAAATATGATAAAAATTAAGAAAAGAAGATTTTAGAAGAAAGAAGACTTTTGAATGTATTAGGTTTGTTGGAGCCCCTCATTATTATTATGGTGAGGGTAGAGGTTATATATTGTGGGTCTAGGGGGTTGAGGACCACTAACCCCCAAAGGAGATAGGGCTTTAACTTTAGGGAGAGGGCTGTTGCGCTGCATGATGGTACTTATTGACTCTCATTGAGAGATGCTAGAGGCACTTCCGCGCTTCTCACTGTGAAAATCACAGTGAGAAGACGCTTCCGTCCATAGGAAAGCACTCATGCGCATTCAATGCTGACGGAAAAAGGAGGAGATTTCCCCAGCGCTGAGGGAGCTCGGCACTGGAGAAAGGTAAGTGATTAACCCCTTCTTCCCCCTTCAGCCAGGTGGGAGTGGGACCCTGAGGGTGGGGGGGACCTAAAGACCATATAGTGCCAGGAAAACAAGTTTGTTTTCCTGGCACTATAGTTGTCCTTTAAGCAAGTTATAGGTATATATAGACAAATGGGATACAGCTGGTTATCTAAAAAGGAATTTACCTGAATATAGTGTGATACAGTTATAAAATTACCCCCCATTACCATCGGGGAGGCAGCTTGAGTGCTAACTACCATACATCTTGTAAAAGCACCCAATAAAAGTGTAATTAGTGCATTTTATAACTGTATCACACTATATTTATGTCCATTTTAGAACGGTATCACACTATATTCGTGTTGGTTCTTTTTTAGATAACCAGCTGTATCCCATTTGTCTATATATAACTTATCCTTTTCACCCTGAGAATAACAAACCTTTCCCACACATGCAGCTTGACTGACCGTCCTTTAGTGTGGGGGGAAAAAACTGTGCTTATATCGGCTTCTACAAACGATGTCGGCAGAGGTAGCAGGTACTACAAGACTCAGCCAGGCAGGGCAAAACCACTGTAATATAAGTTATTTAGAAGAAATAGGAGCTGCAGCTGGAGTAATTTAATTTGAAAACGGGATTTTTCTAAATATGAAAGGAAAAATTGAGTGGGCACTTGATGACCCATTCCATTCATTCATTTTTGAAATGTCCCCTTTTTTCCCAGAGGAATGACTCCTGCTGCCACTAGGGCACAGTTTTTGTTAAACTGAAGTACAATCACTGATACATCAGACTGGATGCGTGGGTGGTCAAATACCAACTGTATTATTTGTTTTTTTGATAAATTGTCTATTTTAAACTTGAAATTACTCCTACTCCACGTTTTTCATTACAAGAAATCAGAAGGAAAATATTACAATTAATCATTATAAAACTAAGTTCTCTCACTTCCTGTTTTTGTTTTTTTTAAATCTAAATATATAATAATCAAACTTTGGCAAACTCAGAAGTGACATTGCAAAAATGACATTATTGCATAGCCATTATGCCTAGCAATATTTTAGTCTTTGTGCATATATGGACAGTCATAGGCAGCATTTCTCCTGCTGTTTTGGTTGCCCCAATAGCCTTGTCAAATTTTTTTTACTACCGGAAATTTGGCCGAGCTGAACGGCAGCATGAACTAAATTTCATTGACCTGAAAATAAATATTTTCTGCCATATTGTGTCAGCAGAACCCGAATTTTTCATCCTGCACAAGGTTAGTATATATGTACAATCTATACTGAGATTTTACACATTTCAAAACAACATATATTTTTCAGGTTTATGTTCTTTTTGATATTATCTTCTTTTTTTATATAGAACCTTTCTTTAAAGTTCAATATTAAAATATGGAAAAATAAAGAAATAAAAACATTTGCAATTCCCTTGATAATTCTACACAGTTCCCAGTTTTGTTATTTTTGCATTACTTTTTACTCATAATATATATATATATATATATATATATATATATATATACTAATCCTTTCAGAGACAGGTTATACATTTTTTTAACAGTTTGCAACTTCACATTATGTTTAATAAAAATAAGCAGGGAAAATATAAATGTAACCACAATAAACTCACATCTATTTATGGCCATCTTAGCAACATAAAGAGTATGATACATGTTTTTGACACAATTTTGGATGAAGAACTATGTTGTGGATGTTGATCAAGGCTAATAGCCACATATTGTCACATATATCTCCTAAATTGTCAATTAAAGTGGATAAACCTATGTACAGCAGTCATGTCAGATTTATTTTAATGGTAACAAACAGTCATGTATATTTTACCATTACTTGCTTCATTGCAATCCACCAAAATATTTTAACAACTTGGTATTTAGCCTTGTGGTACTGAGGTATGCAGTCTAAGGAACACACACATTTTATATCGTTTCTAACAAGCCTCTAGAGTTTGCTATCCGCAAACCCAATTAGTTTACCATATTTTCCTCAGCTTAGTAATTATTTAACATGAAAATGATCATGCTAAATTAAAGAGAAGAATTGTGCAAGGCATTTGAATTTCAAATAGCAGGGAATGTTAAACCATAAAGAGGATATGTGTCTGTGTGTTTTCCTTACATGTTTCTTTTTCTTTGTATATGCACTGTCAACTGGCTGACAGTCTAACAGTGGGAGACTGCAGACAAATATAATATACAAATGTTTACATTACTAAATACTAAGAAACACACCATAATATATTTGCAATGATTATGAAAACACTATTAAAGGGTGCTTCATTCTAAAACATCATATTTTTATACCACAGAGAATAGTCAGTTAAAATATACTACAGGACATAACATTTCAAGTCCTTCGCTGCTAGGCAGGCCTAAATGTTTTTAGCCAATGCGAGCCTGGAGGTTCTATAGGATACTCACTAGAGGTAGATGCCTACTCTTCAAAACTCGCTTTTTACTTATGAGTGGGCGAGCCCTTGCATACTCTATTGTCAAGCCTCTCATAAAACAATACTGGTGTCTAGCTTGGCAACATTTGTGAGACTACCCTTTTTTTTTTTTTTTAAACTTAGGACTCCTTAGTCTTTGTGTGCACATGTAAAGTATTGCAATGATGTTCCTGCATAAATCACATTTTCAGTATATAAGTTCAAATGTACCCACTGCAGTTAATTCCATGGCATCCTCCATTCCTTCTAAGGATATAGTTAGCATGTCGTTGATGTACACCGCAGATAATGACATTTCATTAAAGCAATGCTTTATTAACCCCTCCCCTTAGATGACTTAAAACATCAATATTCCTAATTATAAACAGATAATACATATGTTAACGGGATGTATATCCCATAGCGAAATAAAGTGAATAGCATGTTCAGCTGTCACATATCAATTATAATGCCAAGGCAATTAACAATTATGAAACTATGATTAAACAAAAATAAAGTAATATAAAATTGGACTGGATTTTGCAGGAGCACACTTGATATGGAATAGATGGAATAGACTCTCTGCCAAGTAGGCTTTTAAGAATGCCACTTTATGTGGCATAAGGCTAGAAATGAGTATTCACTGGATGCGTCTGACAAGGAGTAGAGTATCCTCATGTTTCTGCCTGGCACAGAATCAACTTGTTCACTCAGCCGGCCACTAGAGGTGCAGGATTGACATTCAGCGTCTCCACACTGTGCCTGGAGGTGCTGAACGTTCCTCATATAAATGCATTGATTCAATGCATCTCTATGAGGAGATGCTGATTGGCGCAGCGCATGTGCTATAGCCTCCCAGTTTTCCTATGGGAAAGTATTGGATTGGCTGAGATTGTCAAATGTGGTGATCTTAGCCATGGAGGAGGTGTTGGCAGGTTAGCCGCGACGAGACTGGTGCGACACTAGAAATAATGTAAGTAAACTCATCCTTTTATTCATCTTACTAGGGGCCGGTCACCAAAACATCACTTTTGCAACTATAGTGTCAGGAATATATGTTTGTATTCCTGATACTATAATTTTCTTCAATTGTCGTTGCTGCTAATGTAAACTTTTGACCTAGCACCTAAATCATTTCATGCTATTCTTTTTGATTTGTCCTCATATGCTTCGCCAAGCAGGTCCTCCAAACTAACTAAAGCAAGTGAAAGCTTTTAAACAACGAAAGCAAATTAACACTTTATCTTCCCATAGTAGATATCTGCAGTAATACTCATGTACGCGGTATTTCCATTTATGAAGTGCAAAATTATTATTCAAATCAAACCCCTGGAATCCTGATACAATTTACGGATTGATGATGTACTAACTGGCCTACTTACACACCTCCCAGCCTGCAATTTGTTACACCTTGAAGACCCTCCTAATGGCCATCTTACCTGATCTATAACATGGTTCTACAACCCATCTTCAAGTGCAAACCACAATTTTTTGGCTCAGCCATGACATTGAACTGCAATATGAACATCTGGGAATCTGAATTGTTACCTGGAAAGTACTGCAGTTGACACCTACTCTCAATGCCGGCACTGGAGGTCTACTGATCATTGAAACTGCACATCTTCTGTTAGGCTTGTGCAAAATGTATCTTCTCCATAAACTAATTGGGTAAAAGGATTTTGATTGACTTGATTTGTATATGGAGTAAACAATTTTTGTTGATCGTAATACAGTAGAGAAGCTGTTATTTAGAAATGGGTTATCTAACTTCATGAATAATGAACCAAACTACAAATTTAAACTAATTCCCTCAAATTTCATGTTGATTAATGTCACCCTTCTTCTCAGTCTCTTTTTTTATATTCTCGGCATTTCTCATCTGTTTCAGGCAGTCATCTGTTGTTCTGCACACCTTATACTTACCTCCCTGAACTTTTGAATCGGCCCTTCATGTCGCCCAAATCTCCATTAAAATACCTCTCTTGAGGCCCAAATTACAATTACACTAAACACTGGCTGGACTGTAGTGAATTAAATACCTAATCACAAAAGTTAGGTTCAAATTTGCCAAGTTGTCGCTACAACTGAGTGAAACAGTAGTTGTACCTACATTTTCAATTTGTTTTTCAATTCAGTATACTTTCAACAAATAAACTCCACTGTCATTTTAACACCTTTGAGAACTGCTTCTTCATTGGAATCAAATTTCCTGCAGAGTGGAATGTTTCAGTACCCAAGGTGTTTGGATCATTAATATTTACATTTTTAACCAGATCACTCAGGTTCAGTTAATAGAACAAATTTTGACAAAAGCCTCCAATTAAGTTATTTTCAAACAACTAGTAAATCTCAACTAGCTCTACTGTGTTTTCCAGCACAGTATGTGAGATTCCTGGTCAACTAACTCATTTCTTTACAATCCTTTATCTTGACACATGTTCATCGAATTCAGTCTCAGAGGATCTAGTTACCTGACCTCTCATGGATCCTATCTACTCATGAATGGTCTATAAAACCAGACTTCACAGTCATACCTATGCTTGAGGATTGAGCTTCATTGCAGTATCAACATAGGGAATAGCTCTTAAAAATGACTGACATCCTCTATACCAGTAGTCATGTATTTGGGATATGATATAGTTCTCCCAGGAACCACATTCCTCTTTAAGCAGTTCAAATGCTGATGGGGTTAGTTACTAAACTTGATAACTGTATTTTTAGCTTGACTGTTTTGTAATAAAAATCTTGCATTCTCTCACTATTTGTCCATTATTTTAATAAATAACCCCATTGGATTTTGTAACTCTCTATTCTACAATTTAGTCCCATTATTATTAACCAAACTCTAATTGGTATGCATCTTTTCCAATTGCAGTAGATATAGAGCTATACCTAAGCACATAATCGACTGCAATATATAGGCACACATAGAGAAATTATTTATAGAAAAACTCTTGTGGGAAGTCGGAAGTCATCATTCTCAACTGTTCGAAAAAGACCCACTGGAATCTGTGCTTGGCCAAAGGAAAATACTT